ACGCCACCCTCGCTACCCTCAGCGATAGGCCGCCCCGCTGACTGGTAAGCTGGACCGAAGCTGGCTGGTGATTGCTATGCGCGCAGCAACAGGCACGGCAACCGATCGGCTGTTGCTGACTCGGGATAGCCTGGAGGTGATGAGTTAGGGGGCCCCTGGGCCCCGTGGAGGAGGGAGAACACGGGTACACCCCAACCAAGCAGCCCACCACCGCAGCCCCGGGGCCCGGTGCACTCGGTGCCAAGGCGCCTGTAGTCGAGGCCACCCCAACCTCGCTGGCCCTTCTGCAACCACTGCACCACTGCACCCACCCTCCTTGCTCAGGGCTCTGATACGGCCTAGCTACGCCGATCGTTGACCCGCCGGACTGGACCACCTCCACCTGCCCCTCTTTCAATTCGCGATCTCTTGCGGGCGGGATCTTGCTACTTTCCACCTTTCCCAGGTTAACCACCAACTTTTCACGCGCCTTTTTCTCTCCCTTCTCTTTTTTAATCGATATCCTTGATCCTCGTCGCGCTTCCCGCTTCGATTATTCGCTCCTCGGATCAGCCTCCGAGCCTACTTCTTTCGCCTCCTCGCTTCACTTCGACTTTAATCTCCCTTCTAACCTCGTCCTCGTCCTGGTTTCACCTGTTAAAAAAGATCCGGACGAGACGTTTCTAGGATTTTCGGCTAGAAAATATTAAATTTCCACTCTCGGATGTGTTACTCGTTTAACGAATAAATATCGTTACGCGGATATTTTCTTCTTTTTTTTCTTTTTTTCTTCTTTTGACTACACAAAGTTAGAAATCGATGAACAGGGTGTATATAATTAACGAATCACTATAATCAGTCTTTGCAACGGGTTTACAACTACTACACTGGTCGAACGTTTTTTTTTTCTTCTTCTTCTTCTTCTTCTTCTTCTTTTTCTTTTTCTTCAAAACGTGAAACGAGAAACGTACGCGGTTGCCAAACGTTTCCCGATACGTATCGAAAACTGTCGGCGTGGTCGATGCACACTCATAACCACGTGGTCGACTTGAGCAGGTTCGCACGTCGATCCCCTCCGATTCCCGGTACACAAATACGAACGAACGAGAACCAACGTTCCCTCCGCGACAAGTTTCTCGGTCCGAGGGAGAGAGAAGTTGTTGTATCGCCAGCTAGAAACTCCAAGAGTTAAAGTGGTGGAACGAGTCTCGCTGTGCGAGCCTGTTGTATCAAATATTAAAGACGCGAACCCCGGTTTCCCGGTTCAACAAGTATACGATTGATCGCTCTCTTGTTTCTTCCCACCCGCTAACCCGAGCCGTGTACTCGTGTCGAAAAACCGGTGTTTGCACTCGGCTATTAACGATGCTTCCCGGAAAAACCTGCGCGCACCACTTTCGATCGAAGCTTTTTCTTCTTCCTCTTCTTCTTCTTCTTCCTTTCTCCCTTTTTCTCTCCTTTCGCAAAAGTAAAAAGCCGTGCCGCGCTTTCAACACTTGCACTAACGACGCGCACGACGATTCATCCGAACTCTTGCTGCGGATTCGAACGGAACAGGAACGCACTGTTTATTATCCTTCCTCCTCCTCCTCCTCTCTTTTTTCTCTTCTTCCTCCTCTTCCTAATTTTCACCAAATATTACGGTCACGCGAACGAACGGACCACGCAACGAGGAAAAACGTGTTGTGTATCACGGAACTCGGTTGTACTCGGTTGTTCTCGCGAAACGCGACGAAGCACACCACGACCGCGACGAATGCACACCTCGCGACGAAGAAGAGGCGATAGTGAGCGGACGAGTCGACGATATTAAAACGATACAGACATATCCCTCTCTCTCGTGTATCGCGATCCCACCTCCTGTCGTCACCACTCGGTCCGCGACACTTTCTTCCTTCTTCCCTTCTCTCTCTCTCTCTGTTTACGTGGAGAAGCGACGCACGTTACGCAGTATTATCGCGCCGAGCGTTATCGTCGTCATCGTCGCAGCCAGCCTGTTCGACGTGGCCTGGCTGCGTCTCGTAGGAGGAACGGAGGTGTCGCTCGTTCTATCGCGTATTCTATTCTATATGTATATGTATATATCGTCACTCTTCCCTTCCTTCCCTTCGTTGGTCGAAATGGTCGAAACGGGTCCTCTCTGTGAACGAGGACGAAGACACGGCGGGTGGAAAAAGAGGGAACCTAACCCGTAATGTTGGAAGGTCGCTCGCCGACTGACTACCACTTCCGCTCAGGCTGTTGTGCGATTCAGAGTGGGGGATGCTTCGTTGGGTTGTTGTGTGTAGGGGCTGGTGGCGGTGGGTAGACTCGTTGGTTGGTTGGT